GCTAGGTCCGATCGCGAGGGTGCCGATGTATGAAGTTGTCTTGTACACGGGAGTACGTTTCGTGAGCTAGTCGGTCTTTTGAATAATCGCGAACTCGTTCGGGCGCGTCGCGATATTTCATTTGCTCGCGTTTTCCATATTCCATTCCCTATTTTGATGGGAACTTGAAAATATTAGAGTCTCTTGAAATAAAATATCTTAGTGTTGCGATAGTAAAGTTTTAGTATACCGAATCGAAGTACCCTTTGTAAGACACGAAGTGTAATAAAGTGTCTGTAGATTCATTTTAACTTCTTTCGCTCCAAGTTAGATTAGGGTATCTTTGCTGCAGATAGCGCCAGCAGGCTGCGCCACTAGGGCGTATGTCGGGTCTCGATGCGTAGCCACCTCCACGTGGTGAGACCTGGTAATTGGTATCGTTTTCCAAAGAATAATTTTTGGGAAACGATACCGAGCTAAGAGCTACGCACCAAAGTTGAAATATTAGTTATAAGCTAGTTACGAATTAGTCATTAATTAAAAAGTTTGCAGAGGACAGTGACATGTGCCGTGGAAGTTTTATGGAACACCTCGAATTTTCCGGCTGCATCGTAATGGAATTTTGAAGCGGATTAAGAATGCGTGCCGGCTCTGTGAACGGGACACTGCCTTGAGCCACGTCGTATTCTTCGAGGGAATTTTAACCAGCCGAGACAATAACGGAAATGTCGTTCATGAGTAAACGAAAGAAATTTGCAATCCTAATGCGTCGGGTCCAAATAAAACGATCGTGGAAAGACGAAGAAGATTCGTCGGACGGTATAAATATCCCGCTTTCGAGATAGCGTCTCTAGGTCCAGAATAGATCCTTTGTTCTTCGATTCGATTTCCGAGAATGCTGTTCCCATACTGCCAAATTTTCGCGAATTTTGTTTCAATGCTGACAGATTTTTGCGAATATTGTTTCGACATTGCTAAACCTTCGCAAATTTTGCTTCAATGTTATTCGACTTTTGCAAATATTGTTTCGACATTGCTAAATCTTCGCGAATTGTGTCCTGAATTTATTTATTAAATTTTCCCGAGTGTCTACGATGACTTCTGCGAAATAACTCTTAAGGGGATTCTAATTTAAAAAATACCAGCGGTTGATATCACATTCAGACATATCAAAATTAGCAAATAGTTAATTAACTAACAAAATACTGGAATCCGAGATTGCAAATGACGTGAGTAATTTCGCGGAACGACATTTAAGCGGTTTTCCGTATTTTCGCGAAGACTTTGTCACGGTGAGATAATCAACTCAGCCACTTTATGCCGGTTTCTATTAAATTCCGCCAAAACGTCGCCGGAACAAGCATTATTTATGCAGTTATTCGCGAGTTTATCCAGACTCGCTAATAAGAGAGTCACAGCCTGGTCTCCCAAGCGTCTGCGTGGACTAAACTAATTATATACTTATCGTTAACTGCACAGCCCTCGAACTTTCGACCGCAAGAACTTCGTCGTGCAACGTCGCCCTATCGCAAACATACCCGGCATAATTATTCATGGTCTTTTGCGTTAATCTTCGGCCAATGATCTCTTCGATATCGACAGCCCCCACGTTGTCAAAGGTAAGTGAAACTTAAATGGATTTCGGTGTAATCTCGTGGGATCAAGGTGGTCCGGGATGGCAGCTACACGGCCAGTTGTGTGTATAGTTCGCAAGATTCCTGGAGCAGGTAGCTCGAGGGGAAATAAAGTTTAAGACTCGAAAAAGGGAAATTTAATCAGCGTTAATCGTTAAATACGCGTATACTTGGCGTAAATGAAAGAGCTATCTTTTATCCTCTTCCTCATTCTTTCGCTATTTTTAATGACATTCCTCTGCATTAATTCTTATGCATAAAAATGGCCAAATGTCGAGGCAAGAGTTTCCCAATGGACCGTGTATCGAATTATTAAATTTCTCGTGTCTCCTATTTTTTAGAAAAATTATTAAATTAGAACCGGGAGAAATTAATTAAATTATTCTTCGAAACAGGGTTTTTGCGAATATTATATTACGAATGAAATTAATTTTATTTTATTCGAAGCGAAAATAGATATCCCGGTTAAAACGCGTTCTTTCTAGTATGTCAAGATGAAAATTTAAATATTCAAAACTTACTAATCAATGCGAGAAGCTGTAAACGGTATGAATATTAATGAGACGAGGCTACTTTTCACCTGACATTTTGACGTCTTCAAATTTTCAGCTGATTTCTTTGCAATCTGGGGTAACATTGGTGTCATGGTATTAAAAATAATTATGGCAGATTTTAACACGATCTATGCAAATATTAACTTCTAAAGAATATACGATATTCTTTACATCAACGAGAAAAATAAATTATGAAATTTTATCGATAATCTAATAATTTAATAAATTTCTCAAAATACATAAAAATATAAATTTCCACGAATTCCAAGTTAAAATATTCGCATATTCAATACTCTTTTACCCTAACTGTAAGAAAAAGACACTTGGCTGCCATTAAGGACTTTCGACAATCCTCAAGCACTGGGCAATATCCAACCCTAATTTTCTATCATACCAAACACGACAGAAGGCTGTTTCATAGCCCCCTGTACATTTACCGAAACCAACCTCATAAATCTCACGAACATCCTCATCAAACCACCTAGCACGAAACGCAAACGAGATCGTCCCCTACAGTGGCACAAAGTGGGGCCATTAATTACTTTGCACTGCCTGTGCACCTCTGAACAACAATCCAATAAACCCGGGAAAAACACTACGAAACATCGGACGACATGGTCCAATCGTTTCCAACTTTGCGTAATTATCCCATGACCTCAGCTGACAAGTTAACCCCTAGTCCAAGTCGCGCTAGTTCACAGTGAAGAACCTATTAAGAAACTTTACTCAAACTATTTATCCTATATTCTTTCACCTAGTAACGTGAACTTGTAACTAGTAATCGCTTCTAGCAATTTTTCCCCGGAAATCACAGAAGTTCTGCAGTGACAACATTATAGTCTTATCTAGAAAATGCCGAAAGGTGGTGAACCAAAACGATGCATAAACTTCCTCAGAGATACAAAGAAAATTTGCTTTATTTTTCTTTCGCTATTAAAAGCCGAGAAAACTTTCTCCTTGATCGAAAATTTTGGAAAATTAAACTTAAAGGAAACGAGCTACGCTTTATGAATGAGAATCATGTAGGATAGAACGAGTTCTACTTGACAGTAGACTGCGGAGAGTTAAAAGCTTGCTCGTTTTCAGGGATGAAGATGTTTACAGGGAATCGTTGCAGCTTGAGAGGAAACAGGGTACCATAGCGAACGATCTCACGTGTGTAACCTGGTAAAGCAAATTTTTGATGGGAAATCCCCTTGCAAGGGATCGTTGCACGGAAGAGAGCAAATAGAGTGCATCGCGGGGAAGCGATTTATTTCTATAGCTGTGTGGAGAAAATTTTCGAAGAGGAATCTCTTTGTGCAGGGTCGTTGAACGTTGGAGAGTAAACAGGACACGTTACAGCGAAGCGTCTTACTTCTATGACCGTGAAGGGGAAATTTTTAACAGCAGATTTCTTTATAGACGTTCACTCGATGCAGAAAAGTACAAGAGGGTACTATGAGAGTTGTACTTCGCTGAAAAGTACGATATTGGAGGTCTTAAGACGACGGATTCCTTCTCCCCAATTATTTCAGGATACTGTGTCCTTCGTGTTTTGACTTGTAGCGACTTCATTGAAACAAAGAAACAAAGAGACAAAGAAAGGCTCAGGGTGACTATGTGTACGAATTGGTCATCCATTTAATTGTATAGATAACCAATTTTCTGATTTAATATTTCATTCGTTTAATGAAACTTGTATATAAAATGAACCAAGTAACTAGGGATTGTCCGATTAAAGGATTATCTCGATTAACCATGTCCACCTGGGCACGAGTGACGTCTTAATACTATGAGAATGGAATAGGTATAGCTCTGAGAGAATATGAAGAGTGTTTGGAACATTGTGTAGAAGATCATGGCTCTTGCATGTCATGGCTCTTATACAGAAGGTCATTGTACAGCTCTGAGAGAATGTGAAGAGCGTTTGGGACATTGTATAGAATGGCATGTGCAAGAGGATCGACTGGAAGGCCTACCTATGACAGAGGTATGACCCTATAGCAAAGATTAGGTATGTTCTTAAGAATTTAGAGTGCATGGCACTATGTGGGAAAATGACTGACTGAGGAATTTTAAGTAAATACGAGAAAATAAATTGAGTAAGAAAGATTGACAATTAAAATGACAGGGAATGAATGCGTGAGGGTATATAGGGTGCGAGAGAAATGTGCATGAGTGTAGTTTCTGAGCGAGAGTCCTGAGAATGACAGAGTTTAGCTAAAACAAAACTATTATTGTCACAAAAGAAACGTCATTACTTCTCGAACCTCCAACTCTTTACCCACGTGGGATTTAGTGGAGGATAATCCAAAGGATACAGAGCTGGATTGCTTTGTCATTGGTTCACATCAAAGCAACGAGAGGGTGAGTCTCGAAGACTGTTTCTCTGCAGTCGGATAACAGACCTGTCTGAAGTCTGTCAAATGTAAAAGGTCTCGGTAATCGCGTATGCGCTTCGACATTAACCCTTTGACTGCCACGGGAGCATTTTAATTATTCAAAGCATATAATGACAAAACAGTGATAAATAAATTGGTGATATAAGACAACACTCCTATCCAATGGAGCGATTATCTTATCGGCAGTCACGGGTGACCACCGGTGGCGCGTTGGTAACGGTTGACAGTCAACTCACTGTCAATTTTCATGAAATTTTTCCAATTTTAAGCAGTTCAAGTGCTCCGGTCACCAATGACCAACCTGGCATCACAAGAGAAACCATGACCAGTCATATACGACCAAGTGGCAGTCAAAGTGTCAACGATTTCTTCGTTTGCCTTCGTTGGATCAGGATAAAGGACTCGCTGTGCCAAACAGAGAAGAAGAAAATACGGAGGAATCGTCTCACCTGTGTTGGCGTGTACGGGGAACTTTGTCCGGGAAATCCTTGCGTGGCGACAGTGGTCAGGTTGAGAAGCAGGGTGCTTTCCGTGGTGATTGCGTCCTTCCCCTCCATACGAGCCTAATCGCCAGTCCGAAGCGCCCCCTTCGTCGACGGCTACGTCATGCTCCTTCTCTCCTCTCGACCATGGGATTCCGGGAAGGCTCTGGCCGTGCATGGGAATCTTCACTCGATTCCGCCAGCCACGACCGACCTCAGCCGTTCGTCGTTACCGCTCGCACGATCCGGCCCTCGCGGCTCTGAAATCATGTTTCACGGTGGTGAAATCATGGTCAGCGATCGGATAGGGTGGAGGGGTGGTTCGATGGGTGTAGAGAGGCTCGCGTGATGCCCGGACACGAAGATGGTGTTCCGTTCTTGGCTAGGAACGAGTAAACCGGAATTGGGTTGCAGGCTGGATCGGAATTTCGGATGACTGTAGGTGTGCTTTAGGAGGGCGGCTTTAATAGACGGGATAGCGCCCGAGGAAGTTCGGATTGTTTCGAGATGGTTGATGCTAGTGGGGAAAGTTCGAAGCACCGGGTATATTGCTGTGCTCGGGAAAATTTGCACGAGTAAAAGTAAGAAAGTGCCTGCTCCGCCGTGCGTGTACGACGGATAGTTGCTCAACATTTTCGATTAAGATTTTAATTTAATCGCAGTAATACCGCGTTTCAGGCGATCTCGTGCGAGATCCTGCGACGGTTATTATGCTCTCCGAAATTGATTTTCACCGTGCAAATATCTTTGACGAAGGTCGTATTGTTCTACTGTATCGTATTTACCTTTAATTCCGAAAGTAACATTTATTTCACAACCCCTGAGAGATTATTCTGTACCTTTTCTTGCAATCGAACGTTCATCGTGCTCATATGTATGTAATTAATTATTAATTGCATAGGTTAAGAGATACAAAATTTATTTTAGACGTGAATATTGGATACCAAGGGATACCTAGATGTTGAAATCTCTAAAACTTTGGGAAGGAATATTAATTTTAATTCGACCTTTGAACGATTCAGTTGTTTAAAGCTAGGTCTCTATAGCTCGGTTAGAAAGTATCCTGGGGATAATTGGATGAGTGTCAATGTGATTTACGTTCGCCTAATTCGAGGTAAAGCATTGTTGATTCGTACAACGTTGAAAGAAGCTAAAGATAAGTTCACACGACTGTGCTACCCTTCTTTTAAAGGCCTGTTTGAGAAGATAGTAGAATCAGGTAAACGAGATAGGAAACGACAGCGTAATTAATTCTCGGGTTTAGGTAATTAAGAAACTAATTGCTTTATCGTTGCTAACATCAAGGCGCCAACCTGAAAGTACATAGCACGAATGGAAATATAATTAAGGAGAGATGAGAAAGTAATAAATCATTCGACCATATTGAGCTCTTGCATCTCCGTTCGAATTATTCGGATTCCTGGAATTATTCGATACGCGCCGTCTTCGTAGAAGCTAGGAAGGCATTCGATGGACGTTTCATGGAAGAAAAATATTTTGCGTAGGTACGCGGGACCAAGCATCCTCGTGAGGACGTAAGCCTGGCAGAGATAAAAATGAAAATTATTCCAGTCTAATGCGATTCGTAATTCGACCAGATTCTTGATAATTAATTGACATAAATTATCAAATCGATGGAAATCTAAATGGATTGCTCTATTCGTAAATTTGTAGAGAAATAAATGTCGAATGATTGCCATTTTGTTCACAGCAAAATTTGAATAACTCGTTTCCCTTATTCTCTTCGTATTTTCTAAAATTTTGAATTTACATTTCCTACTGAAAATTAAATTGCAGATGAAATAAAAATACCTCAAGAATCTATACCTAGTTTTTAAAATTGTCAAATAATTTTTGGCTAAAGTAGAGAAGGTTTTCAAGATTTTGGAAATTTTTCAGGTTCGAAAAAGACTGATCTATCTTTCATTTTTAAATCTTCGAGTCACCTATCCTAAGTCGGAATCAAGTCAGATCTGAGATAAAATAGAAATAACTACAAAGACGATACTCTATATTTAAAATTGTCAGATGATATCGTTGAAAACTAGCTTTGAGAAGATGATGTACGACAAAAAGGAATCCAATAGCGAGGAAAACTGATTTGCATAAATTATTGTGAGATGTATACTATTATACATTCCATTATCTTAAGGAAACCGAGCCAGATTTGAAATAAAATAGAGATAACTCAGAAGAAGATAGTTTATAATTAAAGTCCCAAAATAATGAAAACTCGCGTTGATCGATGTAATACTCCAAAAATTTACGTGTTTTCGTGAATTATTTGAAGTAGCTTATCAAAGACTTCCATTTGTCTGGAAATTATTTCGCGCTTGCACTTCTCGCAATGGAAATTGTACTTCGCAAAGTCTCTAAATGATATAAACAAGAGACGCCAATCATCGTAGATCCACGAAGGATCCGCTGAAATCATAGTGGTCGAGATACTCGGACCTCAAGCGCGGTTCGTGGCCAGCCCGCTATTTCTCTTCCGGCGTGCGTTTGTATTCCGTTCCCTGAATTCCCGTCATGTTACGACGTACATTTCATTGAAGTTATTACGATTAGATCGCCAGGAGGTAATAACCGTAGTTGCTGTCGGAGAAATCTAATATTGTAAGTGTATGTAGTTTGGAATTATGTTTGCCTCGCTTTGGCAGTTAGGCTAACTAAACAGGCGGGTTAAACAGTCAGGGAACTGGCGTACCGCAGGATTCGAGTGTCTCATGCGAGCATTGATTAATGAGTTATTTACAGTCTCAACAAAAACGGGAATGTTATCAAATAGTTTTTCTGAAATACCAACAACTAGTGCTAGGTACAAAACACAGAAATTTTGGCAAACTCTGCCAAGAACATGACAGAGAAAACTCGAGTTTGCGTTGACTAGACTCAAAATTGCACAGATTATTTTTAAAAACTACGAACTTGTCACCATATTTCATATTTTAACCTCGCTGTATTTCCTACAAAAATGTAATATGTACTTCAGGAATGTTACAAAATTGGAATGTTACAAGTTACAAAATATTATTATAAATTTTAAATATATCGGATATGATAAAAGAGGAAGAACTTAAAATTATAGTATTCACGGAAAGGAAATCACAAATTTCAAGTCACATTAACTTGGAACAATAGCAGGGATAATAAAATTAAGAATGGCTAGGCCCAGAAATTTTGTTTACTCCAATCCAGTGATGAAGATAAGATGAGCTACGATTAGGATTAAAAATTACTCGAATTTTGGGTATTTCAATTTTTGAAATATACTCGACGAAAGTTTAAAAAATTTCGAATTAGGAACTCTGGAACAAATACGATTACGCGAGTCAAATGCTTCGTGACAGGTTCCTCCAAGTTCCTTCTCCTACCTTCCACCTTCAAACTCCTACACCTCCTACTCACCCCGACCTACGCAATGTACCCGTACCTCTTAGCCCACGTAAACGTCGCATGATCGCAAGAACTAAGTCCTTTTTAATCACTAGTCTATTGGTTGAATCACGAATCGATTCGACTTGGTTGCATACCTGATCTAGCGTTAACCCCAACCCAAACTTGGTAGCCTAAGGGAATCTCCAGGCTACTGGTCCAATAGATTCTACGGAAACACTGGTGTTACGCTACATTGATCGCATTAATTCCGAAATATTGCGATAGCCGAATTCGATCGTGGTCCACTCGACCTTAAATTTATCTGTAATTTAAAGGACGCTCCAGACGACGGAATCCGTAATGACTAGCCGGCGCCATTTTCACCAAATGGAGGGTACGTGCATCGAAAACCGGACACCGAGTGGAAGCTGAAGTGAAACGGGAATATATCGCTTCATGTTTCCCCAGGGTACTGATTAGGTTCGACTGTTTGCTGCCTAATGTCTCGAAAGGCAAACTGGCAAGGGTCCGTGTTACGAGGTTGGGTAATTGGGCTGGAAGATTCCTCTGGTTTATTCTTTCCTCCTTTTGCGAAGGGTAAAACGATACTGGAATATTCAGACCAAGGATAGGTGATTCGTCAATGACGTGAATGATTCAGGAAATAGAGAACTCTGGTTGCAATTCTAGTTTGAATTGGGTCTGGTAGATTACGACCTAGTCCTGTCATAGCATTTCCAAAATTTATAGTCACAGATTGTACAAGTGTTGTATATTTGTGGGGCTTCTCAGTTTTTATCATGGGTGAGTCGTTGATGACGTGAATGATTCAGAAAATGGAGAAGTCTGGTTAGAATTCTAGTTTGAATTGGGTCTGGTAGATTACGACCTATTCCTGTCATAGCATTTCCTAAATTTCTAGTTACTGATTGTACGTGTGTTGTATAATATTTGTGAGATTTTAAAGCTTTTTGGAATTCCCTCTTTGTAATTTTATAGAATTTTATAAAGGAGACCAACTGAGGAGTATATACCTTGGTGGTATAGTAGATCGGTTATTAGGATAGCTATGCTTGGGCGAGGATGAAAGATGTTTGCGTAGGCTGTCAGGCAAATTGGCTAACTAGATGAACGATAAGTAGAAGAACGAAGAAGAGTTTTCGCAAATATAGGGAGTGATGTGCGACGTCAAGCAAAAGGAACGAAGTGAGGAATTCTTAGAGTATGTTAGGGTATCTTGGAGTATCTCTTAGAGTGTCTCCAAGTTCAGAATTGTCAGAGTAGTTATTGAATTTACATTAATTTAAATATATCGTTATTTATGGCATAATAAATTAATTTCTGAAAATCTTCGTCAACCAGAAGCTCTCCCAGCTTCATAGAAACGAGGCTTCCACTGATCTCAATCGTTAATGGAAACAATTACTTACTTTCGACGTGTCTCATATGCTTAAACAATACCGTGCCTTTTATATTATACTATTATAAGGTTATTCCTAACGATGATTAATACGCGTTAGTGTGCCTGGAAACAAAGAGTGTCGGAGGCTATGGGTTTCCCTTGAACAAAGGATGAAATATAATTACTGTCTAAGGAGCTTAGCAAATTCTGATTCACCCACGGATAAATCTTCCTATACTGGGTTCTTTTGTTATTCTATAACCATTGTTGAGTTTGTTGCATGTTATCCAGCGAA